AGAGAAAACACTTTTGTGAGAGAAAGCCCCATAGATTGAAGGATCGATGTGTCGTGAGGCAGCTGGAGGGGGGGGGGGGGGGGAGGAAAAAGGCCTGAGGCTGTTAGGAATGGTGGGAGTTGAAGTCGAAAACACCAGGAGGGCCGAAGTTTGCCCATGCCTGAGTTAGAGACATGAGTTCCCCTATTCCTCCAGATATACTCCCGCCTGCAGATTAAATTGCTGGCATCTCAGAAGCCCCATGTTCCTAGTTGCAAGGAGGAAAAAACTGGAAAGCGGTGCCTCTTAATCCACTCCCTTGTGGCAACACTGCTGATTGGTGATGAAAAAAGACAGAGCTTGAAATGTTACTTTTTTGAAGAATTCACAACGACATGCTGAAGCCACCCATAAATTATGTAGTGCAAACTGCAGGGCCCACAACAATATTGCCTGCTATGGAGAACCACAGCAGAGCTTTTAAAAAGTTGCCTTTTTGTTTGTATCACAACTCACAGAATCCTTTACGCACCAGCACAGCCATAGCCATGTCGGCTGGGAGTCGAGATCCGAAAAATCACATTTTCCAATCTCTGGGTGTTAGCATGTCATTGCTAGCATGGTCTTCTGAAGAGTAGCTTTCTCTGGAAGCCCTCTTCCCTTTCTGGTGCAAATACCTATCACATCCTTTGGCTAGTTTAATTCAGTTTGTAAACAATCGTCAAGGAGGAAAGCGGAAAGAAACCAGAAAGATTTACGTAAGATATGTACACATTCTAAACATCTAAAAGGTGAAGGGAAAACAATGCTACATGATTTTAAAAAAAATTCTAATAGAGTGATACAAAACTAGAAGGGGCAGCATAGTAACCTTTGGCTATTCCCTGGGAAAGTGTTTCTTTTTGGCAATCAGACCAGAGCAAACTACGTCACCCGTTGCATTCTATCGCATTGCATTTGGTCCCATTGATAAAATAGAAAAGTTATCCTGAGGTAGATATGGTAGAGATTCCCCTGTAGCAATGTCAAAATCAACATTCCCACCACCACGGTTTCTGTAAGGCAGGAAACAAAGAGAATTCTCGGCGATCAAAAATGGCTCTACTCTCTGGAATTCTCTTGCTTGGCTCTGTAGCTATCCATAATTTTAATTTTTGATCATGTGCCTTCAGTGGAAAGCTTTGATTGGCAAAACAGCTGTAGTCCATATGACAAAAAAAAAAACGCAACCAAACTCTTAAGGTGAGCTAGGGATTGAATTGGTGTCAGATTTAGCCATATTTAAAGGGCCAGCCCATAGGCTTCAGGAGTGACGTTGGTTATATCTAACACAGTACTAATGAATTAAGTTGGACAGTTCCGAAAAATCTGGAAACCCCTGGATTTCATTGTGGCCTCTACTGTGTGTGTATATATATATGAATGCATGTGTGTGTGTGTGTGTGTGTGTATATATATATATATATATATATATATATATATATATATAACACATTTATACATACACACACACACCCTATTCCTCCAGATCTACTCCCGCTTCCATATTAAATCACTGTCATCTCAGAAGCCCAATCATCCTGGAATGCATTGCCAAAACGTACCTGTGTGTGTATGTGTGTGTATACACACACCCTGTTGCCCCAAAATTAAGACAGAATCTTATGTTCCTTTTTGCTCCAAAATATGTGTTAGGGCTTATGTATAGCTGTCTGGAAATTATTTAAATTGTGTTTTTAAATAGTGAACTGTAACTAGAGTTTATTTTTGAGGTTGGGCTTATATTTGGACAATCTAAAAATCATGCTTAGGGAGGTGTTATTTTTGGGGAAACACAGTACACACACACATACATTTTGGCAATACAGCCCATTTAGAGAAAGATCTCACTTATTCCCCAGCCACCATACTAGTTGGCGATTCAAACTAACTATTTAAAATGATGGACTCTTTGGCAATAAATATTGCTCTGTCACAGATTATACATCCAGCAGCTATGGATTAGTGTCACACTTGGGTATTTCTAATTTCCGTTCTATATGTGGATTGTAATCCATGGGAGTGAGCAGAAAGGTCAGGAATATATTCTGTTATAAACTCCTCATATAAACGTTATGAAGCCATTCCCCAATACAGTGCTCTCCAGATGCTTAGATAACTCGCCTTCTCCCAACACAACAGGACTTGAAAGTCATATTAACACCAAGTCCAGGGAGGGTGAGAATTGCATTGTCTGAAAGACACCAGACTCAGGAAAATTACTCAAAATTAAAGATGGGATATAATCCAGTGAGAATACCCCCCAGGCCAGCACGACTGGAATGAGCAAGATCTTTATAAAAACACACTTGTTCATGGTGCAAAAGGAGGCGCATACAGGGTGAACTTCCCAGTGGGTCAGAATGCCCACCATCTCTCCTCCTGCCTCCTCTCCTTTAAGTACAACCTAAACGTGTGCCCTTGCCTTGTCTCGTGGGATTGCTTTGTAGTAAGCTTGCTGATTCCAAATATCACGGGTATGATGATGATGGAATGCACACAGTATGTGTGCTTTGAGATCTCTCTCTGTTTGCATGTCAGGAGAGATGTAGTGATGAGTAAAGAAATGCTCAGAATATTGGGGAGCAGAGAGGAGTTCTACCCTGACACAAATGTGTAATGCAAATTGTACTGCTCGCATTTTTTTTCCTGGCTTTGATCTCTTATTTGCTAAATTATCTCTTTTGCTACAAAGTAATCCAGTGGCACCGCCAAGGAGGACAAATGGGAGGAAAGAGGAACCTGGAACAGGAGTGCGATGGACTTTCTTGCCCAGGTTCCTCTTTCCTTCCATTTGTCCTTCTTGGCGGTGCCACTGAATTACTTTGTCCAAGTAGGGCCCCAAATCCCCCCACTTCCAAATTGACAAAAGGGGAAAGAAGCATAACATCTAAAAAAATAGGTTACTAATCTATAAACTCCCATAATTCTGAAGGGTACCAGGTTAAGAAAGGCTGAACTACAGTCCAAACTACAGATCGGAAAGTAGAGCTGCGCTTTTAAAACCGAGACTCACGCTTTGTGCCGTTAATTTGAACACTGCTGACAAATTTGGGGGTGAAAGCAGTGCAGTTCCAATCTGCTCAGCCCTAGAGGCTGCGGAGGAAGGAACTTCCGTCCCTGAGATGTGCTCGAATACCTGAGAATACATTGCAAGTTATCATGCCCGCTCACTTTTTTCCTTTTTTTTCCTCTTAAAGATTAAAATATACAAAAATACAAAACAGAATATTTATACTTAAAAAAAAGAAAAAAGAAAAACAAAACACATCAACCCAGAAAAGAAAAAGAACCCAAAGATACGTCATACACGTACGTTGCTATCATTGTAGTGCAGAGGTTCTTCCACTTTGAGGCTTCAGAGCAAAGAGGGGGGCCTACCCCTCTCCCGCAGAGCAAGTCCAGCTGTCCGCAGGAGCAAAATAAATTAGAGGCAGAGGCAGAGAAAGCAGGCAGGGCAAGGAAGCAACGGCTCTTTGCCTGATGGGTGGCCATTCAAAACGAGATGGAAAATCAAGGACCCTTGTGCTTACAATGAAAATGGGACTTGCTCAGCGAATTGGCTTCTCATCAGGAAGTCCCAAAGACTCGACAACTAGCCAAAGTCTGCTGTGTGTCTATATTTGTGTGAGTTACAGCAGTAATCATACTAAGAGCATACATGGGAAGCAACATGGCAAAACAAGACCTATGGGCAATCCCAGGCTTGTGATGACTATAGATCTCTGGCTCAAGACAAAAAGTGTAGGCTGGGAGAATAGATAAGCCTTTGCATACCACAAAGTGGCCAACATTCCCTCAAAAGTGTTGAAGGCTTTCATAGTCTGAATCACTGGGTTGCTGTGAGTTTTCTGGGGCTGGAACATGTGGGACATGTTCCATGTCCCACATCTATGGCAGGCATCCTCAGAGATTGAGGGGTTGTCGGGTGATGCCTGCCATAGATGTGGGCAAAATGTCAGGAGAGAATGCTTCTGGAACATAGCCATACAGCCCAGAAAACTCACAGCAACTCAATTCCCTCAAAAGCCTGAGGTCCAAAACCTTTGTCCAGAAACAACAAATCCTAGTGCACAGTGCTAAGTAGGGGATAATTGGGGGACGTTATCAACCTTATGGAAGAAATACAAATACTCTTATCTGTTTTCTCTCATTCAAAGTCCTGTATTTGAGGGCAAACATCTATCATTTCCCCAAGGCCTTGAAATATTTGGGGCATTCCTGCTAGTTGATACAAAGTCTCAAGCTTAAAATAATTTTAACTGGGAGAGAATATAAGGCAATTATGCGGGCTTCCTGCCCCACAACTTAATGCCAAACTGGAGATAATTCCTATTTCCTATACTTTCTCTGTCTGAGCAGAAAAAGGAGTTTCAGGAGGTGTTGTTTGTCACGTGGCAAAGTAACAACACTGCTGAAATTCCCTCCTCTGGATAACAATTAAAGATATAGAATCTCTCTCCAGAAGTGCATACTACAACTCCCAACATCCCCAGCAAAGAGAAATGCTAGACTGGAGGAGGAGAGGTGTAGTGCACAAAGGGCTGCGGATTCTATCACATCTAATATCTCAGTATCTTCTTGAAACAACACTGCAATAGCTGCGATCCTAAGGGAAAATATCTTCCAACTAAAGGAAAATCACACAAATATATACACACAGTCGCTTTGGGTTTTTAAATATATGTTTTTGAATTGTCTTGGATTACAGGACAAAAAAAACCGTGATGTTAGACCCCCATTTCCTCTGGGAAAGGGGCCCAATTTGAGGCTCTCATCCGACAAGATGATGTCCGAATCAGCATCCATCCTCCCTTAATTTCCCCCGATTTCCTTACCCACCATAGGCGCTGTTGGCCCCTTCCCACTGCCTGCCCTCCCTAAGTATGGAGGCAAAGGCTGATCACTGCTCCCCCTTTTTGCTGACTTGATGCCCTGAAGCCTGTTCAAACTCCGGCTGATTCCTAAGTGATTTCCTGACATCATTCCCTGGTTTCTGGAAGCAGAGGTGAGCTGTGCATGTCTTCCTCCTCCCGAAAGTAGGCTGGCTTTCCCTGAGAACTGGGCGACTGCTGCGTTTTGACAGGGCAGTTGGCCACCATATGGGCAATGCTTTGGCAAAAGTGGCATTTCTTTGGCTGAGGCGGGAGCTTGCATTCTTTGGCATGGTGATCCAGGCCACCGCAGTTGTAACATCTGGGAAGGAGGAGAAAAAAAGGGAAGAGTGGGGGGAAATGAGGACAGGGAGAAGGTCACACCTGTTATTTGAAAGGCAGGAGAAATCTCAACCATCTAATTTGTGAGAGAAAGCTGCAATAGCTACTCAAAAAGTTATAATTATTCATGCTGTCGACCATCATTATTCACAATACCCAACACTTACCATAACTAAACCACAAGAGAAGGTTTCAGTTAAATTAAGCTCCTCACTTGGGGGTGGGAAACATAAGGCTGTTGGGATTCAAACCTGGAAAAGTTACTTTGTGGGACTATAGTGCTGAGATTTGTTGGAAATAGTAACCTTCCAAGCCTCCACTGACTGTAAATGTGTGTAATTGCGAACCTATATTGTATTGCCAGTTTGACTGCATCTCTTTGGTGTGGGAGGGGCTTCAGACATAGGACTCAATTTTTGTGTTCAGTGTGCTTTTAAACCTCAATGGAGATGGATGCAGTTTGTCTCCTTTCACACTTTAGTGAATACAGTTAATACAATGTATTGTAGAAGGCTTCCATGGCCGGAATCACTGGGTTGTTGTAGGTTTTTCCGGGCTATATGGCCATGTTCTAGAGGCATTTTCTCCTGACATTTCGCCTGCATCTATGGCAAGTATCCTCAGAGGTAGTGAGGTGTTAATACCTCAGGTAGTGAGATGTTAATAACAGTTAATACAGTTTGGACTGTATCTATATGCTTAAGGACATTGGACTATGGACTACTATCCTGAATATATACAAGAAGTTTGTTAATAAACCTGATATGTTATTTTTAAAGAAGACAATACTTTGTTTTTGTCTCTTAAGTGCATATTTTAATTTGGAGGTTTTTAAGGGAGAGTAGATGGGCAGCTCCAACTTCAAAGAAACAACCATCCTCTGCTAACCCAATATATTTTTGTAGTGGCATGTCTTTATCCTTGGCAGTTTAAAGATGTGGTTCTTCAGTTTAACAGCTGAGTTACCTGTGTGCCATTACACAAATGCTTATGAATATCACTTGTTCAAAGAGTTGACTTCTACAGAGGCGGCCCTAGGTAATTTTCAACGGTAAGCAAACAGTATTTTGGCCCCCTCCCCAACCAATCATTGATATATATTTTCTGTTGGTCGTGGGAGTTCTGTGTGCCATATTTGGTTCAATTCCATCATTGGTGGAGTTCAGAATGCTCTTTGATTGTAGGTGAACTATACATCCCAGTAACTACACGCCGCACTTGCTCCCTTGCCTGGCCCGCTTTGGGTCCGGAGGCATGCCTGAAGACCCTGGCATGTGCACCAAAAGTCAACTTTTCTCCTGACTTTCTCCTCAGCCATTGGGACCAAGAGAGAGAGAGAGAGACAGAGGTGGAGATGCCCACCTTTCCTGAAGGTAGGCGCAAAAACAAAGGAGGGAGCGGAGGTGGGAGATACCTCCAGCCAGAGGGGCTCTCTCTCTCTCTCTCTTGGTCCCAATGGCTGAAGTCAAGAGAAGAGACGACTTTTGGTGCGCACGCTGGGGTCTTCACACACGCCTCCGGACCCGAAGCGGGAGAGGAGAGGAGGCGGGTGGAGCGTCGGGGGATCGGGAAAGGGAGCCGGTCATGGGGAAGGGATCGAACGTGGAGAACGATTGAGCGCCGGCTCTGCTCGCGCACCCGGTGGCCGGGTGGAGCAGGAACGAGAGGGGCTAGCCGAGGCTCAAGGGCCTGGCCCCTTTGGGAAGAGGATCGCCCGGCAGCAAGGCAAGAAAGCCGAGGCTCCCTCCAGACTGCTAGGGCTGTTGTGAGCTGAGGGGGCGCTCCTCAAGTGGTGGTCGAGGGGCATTTACAGAGGCGCCTCTGCGCCCCTGGTAAAAAAAAGTGTTCTGCGACCGCTTACTTCGCGTAATGGACGGGCCGGCCCTGCTTCTAACAAGGTCATGCTTTTCTTGACTAGCAGTTTTCAAAAGTTGGTCTCCACATGTTCATGGAGATTCACATTTGCCAAACAGATTTGACATCATTTTCACCTTTTCAATAAGGTTATGGTGCACTTACTTTCAATAGGTTATGGAATTTCCAACAGGATTAACCCAAAGCCATGTTGGTTGAGGTATTCTAGGAACTGTCATTCAACAAACTGAGCTTCCCAGATTGGACTACAGCTTCCAACATGCCTGCCCACTGGCCATGCTGGCTGTAGGTGATGGGAACTGGGTGCCAAAACATCAGGAAGCTGCTAGTTTCCTATTTCTGTACTAATGGGCTGATTCTGAGGCACATGGGAGAAGGCACAAACCAGTTGGAAACCCAATTTGCCTGCTTACCTATCTTTCCCCTTTTTTCCTTTCTCTCTCTCACAAATATAGCACCCTTTCTCCCCAACAGCATAGGGATGTCTCCTTAGAGCAGGCATGGGCAAACTTGGTCCTTCCAATTCTGGCTCAATTCTATTGTTGGTGGGGTTCAGAAATGCTATAAATCACAGCAACTACAACTTCCAAATGTCAATGTCTATTTTCCCCAAACTCCACCAGTGTTCACATTTGGGCATGCTGAGGATTTGTGCCAAGTTTGGTCCAGATCCATCATCGTTTGGTCCAGATTCATCATAGGAGTCCACAGTGCTCTCTGGATGTAGGTGAACTACAACTCTAAAACTCAAGGCCAGTGCCCACCAAACCCTTCCAGTATTTTCTGTTGACCATGAGAGTTCTGTGTGCCAAGTTTGGTTCAATTCCATCATTGTTGGAGTTCAGAATGCTCTTTGATTGTAGGTGAACTATAAATCCCAGCAACTACAACTCCCAAATGACAAAATCAATCACCCCCCAACCCTACCAGTTTTCAAATTTGGGCATATCAGGTATTTGTGCCGAATTTGGTCCAGTGAATGGAAATACATCCGGCATAACAGATATTTACATTACAATTCATAACAGTAGCAAAATTACAGTTATGAAGTAGCAACAAAAATAATGTTATTTTTGTCCCCGCAACATGAGGAACTGTATTAAGGGGTCGCGGCATTAGGGACCTCATCACACTAGAGCAGGGGCCCTCAAACCTTTTAAACAGAGGACCAGGTCACAGTCCCTTAAACTGTTGGTGGACGGATTATAAGTTGAAAAAAAAAACATGAATGAATTTGTATGCACACTGCAAATATCTTATTTGTAATGCAAAAATGCTTAAAACTTTTGCAGCACAATTAAAACTTGTGCGCCAGTTGCGCCCGTACCTTGGGAAGTCTGATCTGGCCACAGTGGTCCATGCTCTCGTTACATCCCGAATAGATTACTGCAACACACTCTACGTGGGGTTGCCTTTGAAGACTGTTCGGAAATTAGTCCAGCGGGCGGCAGCTAGATTACTCACCGGAGCATCATACAGGGAGCATGCCACCCCTCTGTTATGTCAGCTCCACTGGCTGCCAATCCAATTCCGAGCACAATTCAAAGTGCTCGTTTTGACCTCCAAAACCCTATACGGTTCTGGCCTAGCGTATTTGTCCGGACGCATCTCATTCTACGTCCTGTCTCGGAGTTTAAGATCTTCTGGGGAGGCACTGCTCTCGGCCCCACCTCTATCACAAGTGAGATTGGTGGGGACGAGGAGCAGGGCCTTCTCGGTGGTGGCCTCTCACCTGTGGAACTCACTCCCCGGGGAAATTAGGTCATCGGCATCCCTCCTCTCCTTTAGAAGGAAATTAAAAACATGGATTTGGCACCAGGCTTTCGGGTAATCTGGCGGATAGATAAGGGACAAGCGACGACTAGAATTGATGAATTGGACAACGTGGAATTTGAATTTACGGACTATGAGCTGGTAAACGTTGAGAACTAGATTGTTTTTAGGGATTGTGATGTATAATGGATTGTTTTAATTGTTTTAATTACTGTTTATATGTTTTATTTTTTACCTTGTTGTGCCGGCATCAAATTGTGCCTTTTTGTAAGCCGCCCTGAGTCCCCCCCTTAGGGGTTGAGAAGGGCGGTGTAGAAGTGCGAGAAATAAAGAAATAATAAAAATTAAAACAATGAAATAATTAAAATGAAGAACAATTTTAACAAATATAAACTTATTAGTATTTCAATGGGAAGTGTGGACCTGCTTTTGATGATAAAATAGGATTGTTGTTGTTGTTGTGTGCTTTCCCAGAATTCTGCATGGGGTAGGAACAGAATTTAAAGTAGATTCATTCTATAGTGTGATGAAGTACTTCGAAAGTTGAGAAACACTGTATTAAAGGGTGTGTGAAATGCATATGGAATGAATGAAAGGTAAATATGAATGCCACTAGAGGGCAACCTTGCACCATTGTCACACTCCTAGTGACCAGTTAGATCCAGGTTGTTTACAACTTTTGAGGAACTGGCAGGAGAGGGAGATGCCTTGAAGATGAGTTTAAGACAGCATTTCCTAGTTGAGGTCCAATTGGTATGTTGAACTACATCTCTAATGATCCCCCATCATATTGATGGAGATTTTTTTTGTCATGTCAGGAGCAACTTGAGAAACGGCAAGTTGCTTCTGGTGTGAGAGAATTGGCTGTCTGCAAGGACATTGCCGAGGGGACGCCCAGATGATTTGATGTTTTTATCATCCTGGTGGGAGGCTTCACTCATGTCTCCGCATGAGGAGCTGGATCTGATAGAGGGAGCTCATCTGCGCTCTCCCTGGATTCGAACCTGCGACCTGTCGGTCTTCAGTCCTGCCGGCACAGGGGTTTAACCCACTGCGCCAACGGGGGCTCCTATTGATGGAGATGATGGAACCCTATTTAAATGCATCTGGCAGGCACCAGGTTAGAGAAAGATGCCTTAAAATAATATCCATTCAACTCTATATACGAATAAGGGATCTCTCTCAATGGTAAACCACATCTTTGGATGAAGCCATTTTTCTAAGCTTGCTAAAGATTCAGGGTAAAATATCCAAAAGAGCTGCTCCAAGTCCGAACTGATGAAATTGAGTTAAACAGACCAATGTCTTCACACAGAGCAAAACATGCCATTCCGTTGGGAGCACTCCATTATGGCGCCTCTCTTCCCCTTTCCCTGAGCGGCTCAACCTCGTGGCACAAAAGGCGCAGAGGGAAGGGGAATTGGCTATGGAAAAAACCCACTCATCAGCAGCCCAGCGCCATCCAGCAAACACATGTTCACAGAATGGGAGCATCGGTCCATGCTATTCAGCCCCGGGTGTTTCTGACCTCTGACCTTTCACTTTGAGTTTTTTGCCCTTTCCCTGGAAATTTGCATCTGCTGCTCATTCAAAAAAACAATGTTGAAGGAAGCATCCGCGGGCAAAGAAAGGACTGCCAGCTCATCCCCAGGCAGAGGAGAGGAGAAGAGACAGCCCTTAAGAGTCAGGGGGATCAATTGAATGAATCCGGGGAGTGAGGTGAGCTCCCACTCTTAGCCCCAGCTTCTGCCAACCCAGCAATTCGAAAACATGCAAATGTGAGTAGATCAATAGGTACCGCATCTGCGCTCCTTGTAGTCATGCTAGCCACATGACCTTGGGAGGTGTCTACGGACAACGCCGGTTCTTTGGCTTAGTAATGGAGATGAGTCGGACACGACTAGACTTAATGTCGGGGGAAATGTTTACCTTTATGAGTATTATTATATTATATTATTATTTAAAACAGGAATGGGCACCGTCCGGTCAAAACTATTATACTTGGGAAGGGTCATTTTTTTTTGTCTCACATTGCTTATAGGACTATGAAGCCATGTGTTTTGTTGTATGTTTTGTTTTTGTGTTTTTGAGAGAGGAGAATATTTTATGCTCAGAAGAGACCCGATTTTGATTTGAAATCACGTCAAAAAGGCCCCTCTTGGGCCTCAAATTACATGACAGCGACCTGGCAAACATGTCCTCTCTCTCTCTTTGAGGACACTTGGGTCTTTCTTTTTCTGACAGAGTGCCACAGAAGGGCAAGAAGAGAGGCACAGAGCCATCCTCTAGCCCAGTGTTTGCCTAACTTGGTTCTAGGTATTTTTGGACTTCAGCTCTCCAAATCCCTAGTTGGAGCCTCTAGGGAGCTGAAATCCAAAATAGTTTGGGCAGGCATAGGCGAACTTGGGCCCTCTAGGTGTTTTGGACTTCAACTCCCACAATTCCTAACAGCCTCAGGCCCCTTCCTTTTCCTTTTCTCTTTCCTTTTCGGCTTAAGCGGATGAGGGGGGAAAGGAAAGGGCCTGAGTCTGTTAGAAATTGTGGGAGTTGAAGTCCAAAACACCTGGAGGGTCCAAGTTCGCCTATGCCTCAGCTAGAAGACCACGAAGTTTGCAAACCACTGCTCAACAGCTGTCTGACCCAACTATAAAGCACATTTAACACTCTCCGCATAGTCCAAAAGTGAAAAGCCAATGGTGCAGATGATTAACCTTCCAACACTGAGGCCCTTTCTACACTGCCATAGAAAATCCAGATTATCTGTTCTGAACTGGATTATATGGCAGTGTAGACTCATGCAAATCAGTCCAAAGAAGTTAACATGGATGATCTCCTTTGACAATCTGGATTATATGGCAGTGTAGAAAGGACCTGAAAGTCTTTGGCCTTCCTTGCAGAGATTAGCAACTTGCTATCCTCCAGATCAGTGGTCCTCAACCTTACCCATGCCACGACCCCTTAATACAGTTCCTCATCTTGTGGTGACCCCCAACCATAACATTATTTTTGTTGCTACTTTGTAACTGTCGTTTTGCTACAGTTATGAATTGTAATGTAAATATCTGATATGCAGGATGTATTTTCATTCACTGCCCCATATTTGGCACAAATATCAGATACACTCAAACGTGAATGATGATGGGTTTGGAAGAAATAGACCTTGACATTTGGGAATTGTAGTTGCTGGGAATTATAAGTAAAGGTAAAGATTTTCCCCTGACATTAAGTCCCGTCATGTCCGACTCTGGGGATTGGTGCTCATCTTCATTTCTAAGCCGAAGAGCCGGCGTTGTCCATAGACACCTCCAAGGTCATGTGGCCAGCATGACTGCAAGGAGTGCTGTTATCTTCCTGCTGGAGTGGTACCTATTGATCTACTCATATTTGCATGTTTTTGAACTGCTAGGTTGGCAGAAGCTGGGGCTGACAGTGGAAGCTCACGCCGCTCCCCAGATTCGAACCTGCAACCTTTCAGTCAACAAGTTTTAGCACTGGGGGCTCTGGGATTTATAGTTCACCTACAATCAAAAAGCAATCAAAGAGGAAAACTCAAACAATGATGGATCTGCACCAAATGATAGAATTTGGCCAAACTTCCTACATAGAAGCCCCATGACCAACAGAAAATACTGTGTTTTCTGATGGTCTTTGGTGACCCCTCTGATACCCCCTCACGACCCCCACAGGGGTCCCGACCCCCAGGTTGAGAAACACTGCTCCAGATATTACTCAATGTCAGCTCCCATCATCCTTCCCAAGAAACCCTGGGATTTGTAACAGAGAGCTCTAGTACTTCACCAAACTACTAACCCTAGGATTCCATATGATGCAGCCACGGTAATTAAAATGGAATTGTGGTGCTGTAATTGTGTAATGTATTCCAAGTACGCAGACCTTCAGCTCTCATCATTCTCAGGCAGTGTAGCCAATCTTTTTCCAGCAAAAAAATCTACTAAACTACATCTAAACTACTACACTTGCAAAACACTCAACTAATTTCAAAATATGAGGGTTATCTGGAAAGTATGGCTACAAGGCATGTAGCTCTTGTGAGGAATTTTCTTGGGGGAAGTTGGTATCGCTACCATGTAGCGGGAAGCCAGCAGATGAGCAGTGGTCAGTCATCAGTAGCTCATTGACTGGCGTTGTGGTGAAGGTTAGAGATCAGCGTCCTCATTCCGTTTACCTCCAAGTATGAAGTTTGTGCTGTAATACACTAACTAAATGCTGAGGGTATTAACGCTGCTGCGATTCATCGTGAAATTGATTCAGCTTATGGAGAGGACATAATGTCAAGACAGCATGTGACAAAATGGCTATGGAATATATTGTGAGACCATAAAGGAACTTCACAGAGCGATTCAAAACAAACGTGGCGGGATGCTGACGGCAGGAGTCTGTCTCCCTCATGACAATGCGCATCCGCACACTGCTCATGCAACACATGAGTTGTTGACTTCACTTGATTGGGATGTGTTAAGCCATCTCTCCCACAGCCCAAATCTTGCACCCAAAGACTATCATCTGCTCACTAAACTGAAGGAACACTTGGGTGGAAAACACTTTTCCAACGTGTGAAAATCGAAGTAACGAACTGGCTGAAAAATGCGGAGGGAAACTTCTATGACACAGGCATCAAAAACTCATCCCACGGATGACAAAATATATTGAACTGAATTGTGATTATGTGGAAAAATAATGAAATACCTATGCTACAATCCATGTAAGTTTTAGTAAAATATATTCATTCTTTGTAGTTTTAAAAAAAATCTTGTAATCTTACTTTTTGGATATCCCTTATACCAGGGGTCCTCAAACTTTTTAAACAGAGGGCCAGGTCACAGTCCCTCAAACTGTTTGAGGGCTGGATTATAATTTGGAAAAAAAAATGAATGAATTCCTATGCACACTGCACATCATTTATTTGTAGTTCAAAAAAACACTTAAAAACAATACAATAATTAAAATGAAGAACAATTTTAACAAATATAAACTTATTAGTATTTCAATGGGAAGTGTGGGCCTGCTTTTGGCTGATGAGATAGGACTGTTGTTGCTGTGTGCTTTCAAGTCGTTTCCGACTTAGGTTGACCCTGAGTGAGGGCCAGGTAAATGACCTTGGAGGGCCGTATCCGGCCCCCGGGTCATAGTTTGAGGACCCCTGCCTTATACTATTGTTTTGCTTGCCTGCGTACATTTCCAAGTTAGAGAAGACATATCTGAACAAGGCCTTACCGATCTCCTTTTGACCTGCGCTTCTGGAGGTTTTTCCCCTTCGGTCTCCTCTCACTGCCGATGCAGAACACACCTCCTGGGCCAGTGACTCGAATGGACTCTAGACCTTTGGAAGATTTCTTGAAGGTGAATTCAACGGCCTCTCCTTCTTTCAGGCTGCGAAAGCCTTCCATGTGGAGCTTGCTCTGGAAGCCAGGGAAGAAAAGGGGAACAGAAGAAGTCAACTACAATGCTAGTAGTTAGGGAGATGAGGCGAGGAACCCCGATGTAGGCTCCTTTCTTCTAGGCAAAAGGTGGGTGCAGATCAGAATGGAGAGCAAGCCCTGGAGTACAATGACTGGGAGGAAGAGAGAGCTACTAAAGTAACTACACAAATGTTCTGGAGACTCTTGGAAAGTTGCAAGAACCAATCAAGGAAGCCTTCCAAAATTGTAGCCCGCTCCTGCTCTACCAGCTGAATGAGAGATTTGTACAATCCCTTTCTTCTTGCTTGGAGCTGAACCTGTCAAAACACAGTCATCTCCCACCTGGAAATGAATTATTCACAAGTGGGTAGCAGGGCCACATAGGCCATCTTGAACTCTTTGGAGGCGAAGTGGGGAAGGAAGGAAGGAAGGAAGGAAGGAAGGAAGGAAGGAAGGAAGGAAGGAAGGAAGGAAGGAAGGAAGGAAGGAAGGAGAGAGGGAGGCAGGGAATGTGTTGCCAATTGAAGGAAGTAAATGTTGCCAATTGAAGGAAGGGGTATTTCCAACACTAACAAGAAGCTATGACAGTGGTTCTTAACCTGTGGGTCCTCAGGTGTTTTGTCCTACAACTCCCAGAAATCCCAGCCGGTTTACCAGTTCTTTGGATTTCTGATAGTTGAAGGCCAAAACATCTGGGGACCCACAGGTTGAGAACCACTGAGCCAAGGGTTTTGAATAATAATAAAAATAATAATAATAATAATAATAATAATAATAATATGGATTGTCGATGTTGCAATCCCAGGTGACAGCAGGATTGAAGAGAAACAACTGGAAAAGCTGACACGATATGAGGATTTAAAGATTGAACTGCAAAGACTCTGGCACAAGCCAGTCAAGGTGGTCCCAGTGGTGAGCGGCACACTGGGTGCAGTGCCTAAAGACCTTGGCCTGCCCCGTAGCCAGGATTTCGATTGGGGGGGGGGCTGAGTTTGTTTTGGGGGGGCCTGAGTCCGAGTGAAAGAGGGTCTACCCTAGCAAACCTTTTGTATCGTTAACCCAATACCCCCATGCATATGGGATATATTGAGTATGGTGATCAGATCATGATATGAATAAACATAACAGTTTAAATAATGCACCAGTAAGGCCTTTTCGCGAACCACCATGAGAATTTCGGGGAGGGGGGGGGGCTGAAGCCCCTCAAGCCCCCCCCCCCCCCCCCCCCCCCCCCCCGGCTACATGCCTGCCCTCAAGGGCTTTAGAGTTCATACATCACACAGTCCTAGACACTTGGGAAGTGTCTGACGTGTGATCCAATACAACAACAGAAGAGTGATCTTGTCTGATGGAGTCATCTTGTTGTATTATTATTATTATTATTATTATTATTATTATTATTATTAATAATGATAATCCAGAATTGAAAAGTTGACGACAGATCCCAAATGTAGTCTCTGCAAGGAACCAGATGAAACGATAGATCACATCCTCAGCTGTTACAAGAAGATCACGCAGAGAGACTACAAGCAGAGGCATAACACCATTGCTCAGATGATTCATTGGAACTTGTGCCACAAATACTATCTGCCTGCAACAAAGAACTGGTGCGATCACAAGCTGGAAAAGGCTACAGATAATGAACATGTCAAGCTACTCTGGGACTTCCGAATTCAGACAGAGTTTTGGAGCACAATACTTCTAACCTCACGATTGTGTTAAAAGTTGACAGGAAGAAAATGAACAAATTTTTTCATCTTCTGACTCCAGTTTAGATTTCTGCAGGAGTGGCCTAATCCAAGTCTCTCAAGCGATTGGTTCTGTCATATCTCTCAAGGAGGAATTTACAACCTTCTGGACCCAGCTGGACATCCCCTTCCTATTAGATGCAATGAGCCAGGAGGAACAAGGGGAGGAAATGACCAGGCACCTTGTTTGCAGGCCTCAACAAGCCAATAGCCCAAGGATGCAGCTCAGTTCAATCCCTGGAATCTCCAAGCAGAAGTAGGGAAGCCTCCTGATCCAAACCTTGGAGAGTGGCCACCAACCAAGTCAATGGAATCAACTGTCTAATTCAGTATATGCAATCCCAGGTGGCAGCAGAATTGACAAGAAGCAACTGGAAAAGCTTACACGATATGAGGATTTAAAGATAGAACCATAAAGACTCTATCAAGGTGGTCCCAGTGGTGATCGGCACACTGGGTGCAGTGCCTAAAGACCTTGGCCTGCACTTAAAAACAATCGGAACTGACAAAATTACCAACTGTCAGCTGCAAAAGGCCACCCTACTCGGATCTGCACACATTATTCGCCGATACATTACACAGTCCTAGACACTTGAGAAGTGTCTGACGTGTGATGAAATACAAAAGCCAGCAGAGTGATCTTGTTTGCTGTGTACTAATCTTGTTGTGTTTCTAATAATAATAATAATAATAATAATAATAATAATAATAGTAATAATAATAACAATAATAATAATAATAATAATAATAATAATAATAATAGATGTTATACTTTTCTAATACATACAAACTTTGTATGATGGGACAATGGTAAACAAAAAAAAATTGAGATCTGATCTGACCTGAGTCCTCTTGGGGAGATAGGGTGGGCTACAAATAAATAATAATAAATAATAATAAATAAATATTATTATTTATTTAATAAATTATTATTATTACTATTATTATTATGTGATTTGCAGAGTTGGAAGCAAAACTTTTGAACTTCCAATTGTTTAGCAATACTAAACTGCAAAAAAATCCCTCTTCCCTACTATACTAGACCAGAAAACCTGAAGAGGAATAGGCATGTATATATGTGTGTTGAAGGATTTGTGTGCGTTTTGTTTAAATCCAATTGCTAGTCTTAGTGAGAGTGGATCTATTACCTCAATGAGATTTCCCTAAGTGTTGATCTATTTTATTACCTGCTGATTCTGTTACGGTCTATATTAATTGGGACTAGAAATTGGATTTAGACCATCAACACATATGCAGGACTAACGTGGCATTCTGTATTATATATAATGCATTTGCAGAAGCAAAGACAATTAGAAACGACATGCATTTGCATGCATGCACGTGCGCACACACATACACGGAGGCAGGCATGCATGCACACAATTCAACTAATTAAAACTCAATCAGCTTCATTGAAAGTCTCGATTGAACTGTCATACTTGTAACATCTGCAGAGGGCTGAGATCAGGTCTCTAAGGACCGCTCTCTAGCGCTTCTCCCCTCCCCATTGCCCTCCATTTCTCAGCAATAAAAATGGATCAATGAGCTTTTGTTGTTGTTGGTTGGTTGTTATCGTCCTCCCGGAGCACTTGGCAACACACATTGCTCCTTTTTGGGGATGCTAGGTAAGGTTTTAGGGGAAAAGAGCCTTCCTCAATTCTCACTTTCACAATACTTTTCTCAAGCGATGATTTGGTAAACGTTTGGCAAAACCTGGCCCCACTGGCTGAACCAGAATCAGAAGTCTCATTTCCTGCCCAAATTCTATCATTAGTATCCCAACATTAGAAGTAATGAGTCATAGAAACTGATGGAGAGTGGAAAGGAGGCCAGAATCAAATTATATTTCCAAAGTCAGGTAATGGAAGGTAAACAAAGTCATTTCACCGATGTTACAATTAACATTTTGTCGTTTTTAGTCTTTTTAAGACGTTAACCTTTTAACAAACATCACAGTTTAGAATTGTAAACATTGTAGTGAAGACCAATCATAAATGACATTTTAAACCGAAACAAGTACCGTATATACTCGAGTATAAGCCTAGTTAGTCAACCCACCTGGCTTATACTAGAGTCAAGGCTATTTATTATTTTATTCTGTTATTATTATTAATTTTATTAAAAGATAAAGGTTGTCCCCAGACATTAAGTCCAGTCATGTCTGACTCTGGGGTGTGGTGCTCATCTCCATTTCTAAGCTGAACAGCCGGCGTTGTCCATAGACACCTCCAAGGTCATGTGGCCGGCATGACTGCATGGAGCGCCATTACCTTCTCGCCAGAGAAGATCTACTCACATTTGCATGTTTTTGAACTAATAGGTTGGCAGAAGCTAGGGCTGACAGCGGAAGCTCATGCCTCTCCCTGGAATCGAACCTGCTACCTTTTGGTCAACAAGCTCAGCAGCTCAGCACTTTAGCCCACTGCACCACCAGGGACTCCTTAATTTTATTACATTTACATTATTCTACTCTATTATAGGAGCCCCCAGTGGCGCAGTGGGTTAAATCCCTGTGCTGGCAGGACTGAAGACCGACAGGTCGCAGGTTCGAATCCAGGGAGAGGTGGATGAGCTCCCTCTATCAGCTCCAGCTCTTCCTGTGGGGACATTAGAGAAGCCTCCCACAAGGATGATAAAAACATCAAATCATCCAGGCGTCCCCTGGGCAACATCCTCGCAGACGGCCAATTCTCTCACACCAGAAGCGACTTGCAGTTTCTCAAGTCGCTCCTGACATGACAAAAAAAACAAAACTATTATGATAGTATTTATTATTTTATTCTATTAACATTACATTTATTATTTTACTCTATTTATTATTATAACATTTATTATTTTACTCTATTTATTATTATTACATTTATTATTTTACTCTATTTATTATTATTACATATTTATTATTTTACTCTATTTATTATTATTACATATTTATTATTTTACTCTATTTATTATTATTACATATTTATTATTTTACTTTATTATTGTTATTATTACATTTATTATTTTACTCTATTTATTATTGTTATCATGACATTTATTATTTTACTCTATTTATTACTTGGAGCTACCTTTGAAGACTGTTTGGAAGTTTCAAATAGTCCAACGGGTGGCAGCCAGATTTCGCACACAACTCCCCTGTTACGTCAGCTCCACTGGCTGCCAGTCTGCTACTGAGCACAATTCAAAGTGCTGGCTTTAGCCTATAAAACCCTAAACAGTTCGGCCCAGCTTACCTGTCTGAACGGATCTCTT